ATAATTGACGAAAAAACCAAATTTAAACACTGCAAACTTTAATACATGCTATTTAATTAAGCTTTGAGAGACAATTAATGGATTCAGAAATCTTTTAAATTATATATTTAAATATACCTTTGGGCAAATACTTAAATATATAATATACTTGATTGATGTCTTAGAGGAAAGATCTTTAATAGAAATTAAAGGTATCGTGATTAATTAGTGGTTATCTTTGGACAAACACACTAATTAACCTAACTTTAATATAATTTCTCTTTTATTGTCATATATTACAAACCATGGCCCACCTTTGGGTGTCCTCCTAGTTTATAATCTATAACATCAATTATTCAAATATTATAATATTGTGGTACATTAATAAGACATCGTCTTATATTTGAATAATTGATACTTTTATCTAATTTAATTATCTATTCCATAAATTAAACTAGGCCACTTTGGTGACTAACTAGTTTCTTACATAGATAATATAAGTAGATAATATTTTATTTTATGATATATCATCTAATTTAATTATCTATTCCATAAATTAAACTAGGTCACTTTGGTGACTAACTAGTTTCTTTACATAGATAATATAATTAAAAAATTATTTTATTTGATATGTATATTTTATGAGATTATATATCAAAACTATAATAAATCTCCATATATCATTAATAGTTTCTACAATTGAAAGGGAACTAAAACCTTTAACAAACAACTTAAACTGTACATGTCAGAGTGTCATGAGATTATGAAAACTTTGATTAATCTCATTCTACGCAAGTATCGATACCATACTTAGTACTTTATACAAAATAATATTCAACCAAATAATTCAATGGCAAATAATTCCCAATCACATTACTCGACCATCATTAATTGTTCAGCAACTAATTCATTCAAATTGTTAAGAACACACCAATAAAGCATTGGAAACCTTCATGCTTTTCTTTCATGAAACAAAAGGCAAATAAATCACATCCAAGGTAAATATCCATTATGCGGCAGGCACAGCAAATAAATCACAATTCACAACCAAGTTTATTTACCCATCTATTACGCCAACATTCAGGCCTCAATAATCCAATTGTCCCAGTCCAGTAAATAATTCAAGATGAAACCAATTGACCAATAAACACTACGGCAACATGATATAATCGTTACTACTAATTATCACACGCAATTCTAATCTTTTATATGGCAAAATAATAATATGCATAAACACATGCTCTGATACCACATGTAAGAAATTTAACGGGCATACTCATAACTATTAGGCGGAATTGAATAAACCCTAAGCATGTAATTCTATCAGTTCATAGAATATGGATCATTGCATGAATTAAATTGCACATAGAACTTACAAGAATCCAGCTTATAGTCCTTCTCTGTTTTCTTGATCTATGATGTTGATCTGCGATCTCTTCGTCTCGTAATGTCATGGATCTATCTTTCTCATAATCTCCATGATGGATTCCCCTTTGCCTATGAATTGTTTCTCTCTCCCGCTTCTCTCGTCTTTTCATAAAGCCCTTGATGTTGAGAACTTTATTTGCGTATGAGATGGGAGAGAGGGGCATGTAGTAATATATATAGGAGGAGACCTACAATCCTAATCCTACTAACATTCCCCATGTTCTAACCTAACTTATTGTCCAAGTCAAACATCACAAATTGGACTCTTTAATATTAGAACATTAATAATCCATTAAATACATAATCACCTTAAATAAGTTTGACTATTAATTCAAGTAGGTCCAACTAATTATATGGTCCACAATAATAGAATAATATATAAATTATTATTACATTGCGTAAATAGGCAGACAGTATATGTTGCGTGTATGTTCAGTATATGTTATTTGTATATGCAGTAGACAGTATTTGTTCAGTATATGTTATGTGTATAGGCAATATATGTATAATTTATAGTATGCATTTCTTTTGATGTTTTTTACAATAAGTAACTTGTTACAATTTGTATATAAACTATATATATTTTTTTATGATTTTTATCATTGATTTGTTGTGTATATGTATGGTTTATCTTTTAGTAAAATTGTTTACAAAGTATAATAGTAAAATAAACAATACGCAAACCCAAAATATACTACAAAATATTCAAAAATTGATTTAAAATAAGAATAAATTGAATTTTTGTTGTTGTGTATATGTATAGTTTATATACATAGTACATTCATCATATAATGAATGAAAATCATTATAGGCGACTCCATCCAAAAAAATATCAAAAATATATACCTTTAATAAAAAAGAAAAGAATACATAACGGAAGGGAGTGTGGAAAGTTGCTTTCAATTTGGTGATAAACCACAAATAAGACTCGTTAAGGAAGATGGAGTGTGGAAAGTTGTATCTTGACATAACAGAAAATTTGTGGCTTCAATTTTGCCTTATTAATATTGTTTTGTTGGAGATCCCGTAACTGACGGAATTAAAGGTGGGAGCGTTTTTATTTGGTGAGGTTTTTAAGATTGGGTGTGATGCTAATTAAAATGCTAAAGATTCGTATATATCCTAATAATATTGCAACCTCGTACATTCACAATAAAATAGCAAAAGTTATGTTGTTATGTATATGGCCCTTATATTTTTCCACAATTATGTGCTTGAAATGGATACAAAATTTATTCAAAAAATCCAAATATTTTTAATTCAACCATTTTTTTTAACTCAACGTTAACTCAACTCAACTATTATTAATATAATTAAATAATATAAACCAATCATTCTTACACATAACATCAACTTTAATTCACTATTCAACCACTCACATAATTTTAACTAACCATCACTTCAAATCTCGCTCTCATACTTTTACATCAAATCAACTTTAATTATTTTATTTTAAATATTATTTTAATATACTCACTAACAACTAACCATACCACCTTTTTCAAAATTAACCAAACCAAACCAAAAAATCCAAATAAATCTAAAAATTTTTATATCCAAGCATCTATTTTTTTCCTTTCCCATTTGGACTGCATGTTTGTAGAATATTTTTTTATTTTTTTTCTACGACAAGTTTATTTTTTTCTTACGACGAAATGATAGAGAATATAAATAACAAACTCACAAAAGTGCAAAGGTACAACCCAAAGTTGAATAGGACAACCCTAAACTGAGAAAAATGGGAGGACAGGTCTGACGACCGCCTAGAAGCCCGACACTAGCAAACGCTAGAAACTAAAACAAGACACTCAAGACACCAACACAACAAACACACAAATAAAAACGAACAGCTCCCCACAGGAGAATCGAGATAGGAGCTGATCCCCACAGGATAATAAATTGCTCCCACTCACACAGACACTCAATGGGTGGATTGAGTGTCTTTTGGGGGTGGGGCGAGGCTCTCGCAGCTTCGACCTCTAGGGTCGTGGAAGTTGGAGTGGGGGACCGAGTCACTCTCTCCCTCCCGGTTCTCTGGTGTTGGGAACTGTGGGGGTGGGTTTGGCACTACCGAGCCTGGCTAGTGGTGTTAGGCGAGCTCGTGTGAGGCTGACATGGTGAGCTGGTTGGTTGTCTTCCCGATTGAGGTGGATTGATTCGGGTTAGGTTCGGGGTCCGGCTCTGGCTTCTGTATAGGCGTTCGGCAGCAGTTTCGGAAGTTGAGCTTGGGCTTGGGATCTTTCGTGGATTCGATTGTTTCTCTGCGGTTTCGACTCGTTTGATTGCTGGGGAAGGGCATTCTTTGTTTAGTTGCTTTGTTGTTTAGTTAGTTTTTGTGTTTTTGTGGTGTGTTGCTAGGCTTTGTTTTTTAGGTTTGGGTCGTTGGCCCAAGTGCGCTCGAGTGTGAATTTATTATCCTGTTGGGATCTCACACTTGGGTATTATACTGTTGGGATCTTTTGTTTAGTAGTTTCCGTTGTTGTTGGTGTAGTTGGTTAGTTTAGTTGCGAGTGTCTTTTTTCTGATGTTGCTAGTCGGGATTCTAGGCGGTTTTCTGACCAGTCCTCCCACTTTTCAGCTGATGGTTGTTTCCATTCAGCTAGGGGCTATATAATTCGCACATTTGTGCATTTTGATTTATAATATTACCTATCGTTTCGACAAAAAAAAAAAAAAAA